AAAAAAAAAAAAAAAAAAAAAAAAAAAAAAAAAGAATCTTTTTTATTTCTTTCAAATAAAATTTACCAATAACTGTGAGATTGATTAAACTAAATTATAATTTTTCCCTCTCCCATTTCATTTCATTTCTTCGTTTTATGCGAAAAAATAAACTTGAATAAAAACACACACATACAGAGAAGGCTGATTTTTATGGTAAAACTGAGCATTGTTTAATGCTTATGTTAACATCAGGCGAAAGTTTCAACTTCATTTACACCAGCACTTTTAGAAGCTTCCGTTTTCTGCTAATCATCGCTACAACTTCCAATTTTTTTGTCTAATGGTTTTCACTTGTACTGTGAACAATTTTTTTTAGCTGATTATAGCAACAAAAAAAAGAATTTTTTTTTTCTGCTTAACTGTGTCGATGTGGCGGTACATCAGTAGGACAGTGAAAAGATTAAAGGGATTGTACTAAAGTGATGATTAGCAAACAAAATAAAACCACTGTTTATAAAATAAAATTGAAGCAAGTAAATAGCTGAAAAAAATAACAGCTTAAACTGAAAGCTTAAGATTTTATTATTGTTGCAGTATGTTCAGTACACGAACTAAGATAGAGCGCTTTAAGACTGTATTCAGTGTATCTGTTACTTTGATTTTCCTTAGCAGTCGAACTATTGCAAGTAAAATAATGGCAATAGTGCTTTTTCAAAAACTTTATTGCCTTCTTATTACAAAAAACATTTTTTTTTTTTAGTATTATTACTGTCGGGAATGTTCAGCAAAATAAAATTGTTGATAGTGTTTGATTAGCCGTAAAACAACAAAAACATTTGATTTCTTATTTTGGGTATCTTTCAAACGACAAGAACCATAATAAAAAAAATCAATCAAAAATGTTCAGACTGAAAGCGTAAAAAAAGGAAAAGCTCAATTTATAGAAATTTAATAAAAAAAAATTGTTGCTTCTGTTTGTTTATTTTCTTTTCCCTTCAAACACAGCAAATTGCAAATTGCAAAAAAAAGAAAAAAAAAAAGTAGAAATTTACGGCGTAAATTATGAAAAACATTTCGTATCAATGTACCAATTTTTTCTGCTGAAACCTTACCAATTCTTTATACACCAACAAAATCTATCTTAGCCCAGAATCCATTGGTACCAACAACAAGAAGAGCCAAAACACGGCAAGGTTATACTCAAATTTCTTAGCATCTGTTTTCCATTTTGTTTTGCGGATAAAATAACATACAGTTACTGCTGCAGTGTTAATCCTCCTCTTCGCGGATAAGGCAGCCAAAGTAAAACGGGAAGAAAAAGGAACAAAACAGTGGATGAAAAAGCATCAATGTAAGTGCAATTTAGTTTTAATTGAGGAATCCAACGAAAGAATAGTTCTTAAAAAAAATTAAACAAAAATTTCCATCTAATTTAATTTTATCCTTATTTTAGACAGTCAGTGAAGCTGATATTTTTTCTTGCTCCGTTCTTTTTCTACATTCTAAAAAACAATTATGGTATAGCAAAAAATAAACCTAACAAAAAGTCTAACAACTTTGTTCTCAGTGTTGTCAACTGATCCGAATTCAGTTGTTAACACAATGGCATCACAATAAAATGTTTCATCAACTTTTTTTCTTCCTTCTGATTAAATTCGACCATTAGAAATATATGGATACGGAGAACATTCTCTCTTCTCCATTTTCCTCCTTAAAACATTAAAAATGAAACTTTCTTTGCATGTCTTGTATCAACAGCTCAAAATGTCAATGAGCAAATATCAAAAAAGGAATAAAGAAAAAAAAAAGTCTACTGTCATATGAGGCGTAAATTTACTTTTTTTTTTGGTGATCTTATTAAATTTGTGTATGTAATTTTTTCAACAGTTTTATCCACCAAAGTTTTGCTTTCCAATTATTTTTCTTCTTCTTAAAGACGATGCGAACAATTTGTTGAGTTGATGCCGTTGCTCACTGTTGTCCAACCATTCATCCACCTCCGCTTTTCAGATGTTTTCTTACTCAGTTTTCACAAGTCAAACTTAGAACAATAAATATTACTGACATATTCAAGGAAACTGAAACATCAATGTTTTCTAATATCATCAGTTTTATTTATGCTGCTACTGCGACAATTGTGAGTGTTTTTGGGTTTCGGAAGTTCTGTTAACATCAATGCTCGTCAAA